TGTGGGGGGAATTATCACTTTCTATTAGACTTGTATGAATCCGTTTGAATATGACTGGTGAGATATGATCATTGTTTTTCAGAGGTATTTTCATTAGAGGAACCCTTATTTCAAAGTAAATCTTCCACAGAACCTTATTTATTGAACATAAAAGCAGAATTACTGTGTTTGAAGCCGTGCTGTGTGCAGGTGATTATGATCTGCAATTAGCTCAGTATTTATAAAAGGTTTTTCCTTATTTCTGAGGTCTTTTTAGTTGTAAACAGATTCACTGGCATGTTTGGCTAAATCTTTGGATTTTATAACTTTCTCGTGTATGACCTGGGAGGCATGCTGATGTTAGAATTGTTTCAGTAGGAGTGAGGACGTATTGTGGCACTCCTTTAGGAGGCGGGATCTTTGCTTCTTCAGATTAAGCAACAGTCCAGCTCCTTGTCATTCTATTCTAGTAAAGTTATAGCTGACCAGACTGCCTTTCCTCACGTTTTAATAGCGATACCCTAAGATAACCTTCATTCCTAGTGGCTTAGAATACTTTTTAACTTTCTCCTAGGTGATATGTAAAATATAGCTAACTTGGGGTTTTTCGGCTATTTTATGCAAAAAACCTTGTGTGTCTAGAAATCTTAGAAAATGAATTACTCTGTATAGCCAAGTTTGCCACAGAGCTGAGATTTCTGTCTTCTTTAAGCACGATACAGATCTTCCTTGAGTTACAACGGGGTTACATCCCGTTAAATCCATCGTAAATTGAAAATATCCTAAGTCGAAAATGCATTTAATCCACCTAACCTGCCGAGCATCATAGCATAGCCTCGCCTGCCTTCAACCTGCTCAGAACACTTACATTAGTCTGCAGATGGGCAAAATCATCCAACACAAAGCCTATTTTGTAATAAAGTGTTGACTATCTCATGTAGTTTATTGAATACTGTACTGGAAGTGACAAGCAGCGTGGCTGTCTGGGTGCAGAACGGCTGTAAGCGTATGGGTTGTTCACCCTCGTGATCGCGGGGCCGCCCGGGAGCAGCTCTCACAGCGCTGCCCAGCATCACAGAGAGGCTTGTGCCGCATGTCGCTGGCCCGGGAAAAGAGCAACATTCAAAATTTGAAGTATGGCTTCTACTGAATGCTTATCACTTTTGCACCATCATAAAGTGGAAAAATCCTAAGTCCAACCGTTGTAAGTCGGGGACTGTCTGTGCTTTTATAACTTTAACAATTTTGGATGGAAATCTTTAAAAATATATTTCATACTATTCTGGTTTTTATTAAAAAATTATTGAATGTTACAAATTTTCTTTATGAATTAGAAATTATTAAAAATATACAAGTTTTATGTTACAGTGAATGCAATGATATCCTCAAGGAATAAGAAAGAAAGGAAGTTTCTCTGTTTCAAATGCCCTCAGATACTGTGTGTTTTAAGTTTTTGTATTTGTCTTCTCCTTTACTGTAAGACTGACATCTATCATTTTTTCCCCCTCATTTATCAGCGTTTCTTTTTCTAATTGTGACTTTTAATGTGGTGTAGTTTTGGAAGCCAGTTAACCTGGTTAGAGTTGCATGTAAAGTGGATTCACAATCAGAAGAGCTTTTCATGAAAACTGCGATGTTTGTAAATGGACTTTCTAGCATCATTTCTTTTTTCTTCAAGGTCCCCGACTTACAACGGCTTCAAGGTCTTACCATATAGTTCTCAACGAAGTTTCAGATAGATGTTATTTCCAGGTAGCTGAGTTTTCTTTGTGAAGACTACAATATTGTCAGTAAATGAATGTATAAGCTGCCCCTCCTTTTCTTCTTTACTATTTGTTAGAAAGAATGCAAGATTGCCTAGCACTTATTGTTATTAAAGGTGGGAGACTAAGAAAAGATAGTAGAGTGACTTCAGGAACTTCTTGATAAGAAAGCAAGACTAGATTTTCAGTTGGGTTCAGGAGTAGTCAGCATTCAACTCCTCATGACCTGGACTATGAGGCCAAGAAGTGATATGTCTTATGTGAAAAAGCTACTTGGCTGTATATATCTTTAGTCATATATTCTGAAACTTGAAAACAGTGATACTGGTATTTGGCCACATCTTAATTAAAGTCTTTTCTTATAGCCAAGTGGTAAATAGTGGAATCATCGGGGAGGAATGAATTGCATATGGGAGTAGGAGGCCGAAACTGCTGCTTCCGAGTTGCCCGGATTGTCTGAATTATTACAAGATTCTGTAGCTAGAATTATGTTACTAAAATTAAAGAATAAAAAACTTAAATTGCGGAGAATAAAAGGATAAAAAGTGATTTGATCTGCCTTCTAGATGCTTTGCTTATGATTTGTATAATACTGTTTACCTTTTACTAAGCACCCCAGGCAGTGAGCTAGACACTTGACATGTATTACCTCTGGTCTTTACAGATATTATTTATGAATATAAAGTATTATTTTCTGCATTTTAAAGTTAAAGAAACTTTAACTTGCTCAGAGTTGTGCAGCTGGTAACAAGTGAACCACAGTTTGAAATGAGGTTTTTTTATTGTTTTTGGGGGGTTTTTTATTTTTAAGATTTTTTATTTTTCCTTTTTCTCCAAAGCCCCCCCCGGTACATAGTTGTGTATTTTTAGTTGTGGGTCCTTCTAGTTGTGGCATGTGGGACTCTGCCTCAGCATGGCTTGATGAGCCGTGCCATGTCCGCACCCAGGATCCGAACCGGTGAAACCCTGGGCCGCCGAAGCAGAGCACGCTAATTTAACTACTTGGCCACAGGGCCTGCCCTGAAACAAACGAGGTTTATATGCCTCTCAAATCTTCATTTTTCTCCATTGAGCTGACTGGATAAAGTGCTGCCTGGTGGGAAGTGGAATGAGCTATTGTCTTGTGGTCCACATCACAGGGTCAGCTGAGCCAGTTATGTTATTTCAATTAAAAAGAAAAGAATAATCTATTAAACAACATTTGAGCATGCATTTTAGTATTCTCTGTATTTATTTATTTATTTTTATTTTATTTTATTTTTTTTAAAGATTTGTTTTTTTCCTTTTTCTCCCCAAAGCCCCCTGGTACATAGTTGTATATTCTTCATTGTGGGTCCTTCTAGTTGTGGCATGTGGGACGCTGCCTCAGCGTGGTTTGGTGAGCAGTGCCACGTCCGCGCTCAGGATTCAACCAACGAAACCCTGGGCTGCCTGCAGCAGAGCACGCGAACTTAACCACTCGGCCACAGGGCCAGCCCCTCTGTATATTTTTACAGCTAAAGCAAGATGCCATTTTGAGGAAGTTTATTTACATTTTTCTTTATTTTAGTCTGACTATGGCTTTTCTCTTAGAATATAATAGTTTTTGCAAAAGTTGCATGAAAAGACTTTAATGAACTCTTCATGTTTTATTCATCTTTTGGAGAATTACAATCCATGAGGCTGAAAAGTTAAAAAGTGTTTTGTATTTTGTTTAACCTGCTTCACGAATTTATTGAATCTGCAAACGCCTCCTTAACCCTCTTTTCCCACCACTGTAATTCCTGTTCGGATCCCATGGGTCTGTGGGACATATTTTAGGGGAATGTCTCACTATAACTCAAACCTCAGACTCACTTCAACCTCTTCACTTGCACCACTTCCGTTCTTAGGAAGACACATCAAACCGACAGAAAAAGGTCTTGGAATAGCTTCTTTTTTGTCTTGTGAAAGTGACTTTTAGCTATGTATGTAACACTTCCTCTGGAAAGATCTGATTTGTATTTTGTGATAGAAAAGGCATGGGTTTGAGTGTCGTAAAGACCTGTTTGAGTCTACAACTTCATAAGAGTGACCACAGAGAAGTAAATGTTGTCCTTAAGCCTTCATTTCTTCATCTGTAAAATTGGAATAATGTAATCCTATAGGAAGGATTTTTAGAAGTAGATAGGATATATAGAATGACTAGCAGAAATATGTATTTCATAGGTACTTAGAGCATGAGGGCTTATTCAGCCCTTCATCCTGCTTCTCATCTTGACCCAGACGAGAGAGAAAATAGAGCAGCAAGGCCTATATGGGCAGCGTGAAAACCCAGTTCCCGTCTTCTTCCTATTAGCGTCTTTCTGGTGGCCAGCAGCTGGATTACCAGCATCTGAGTGCACCAGTGTCCTGTTCACATTAGAGCACTGGAATTGATAATGACTTTAGGTGCTTTCTAGGTTTTTATGGTATGCATCCGTCATGGTTTTTGCTTGTTTGTTTAGTAGGACTTAGTTTCTGTCAAAACTTAACTTCTAAAGACATGTATGTAGAATCTTCGAGGCAGGGGTATAGTTATTTTTCATACTCTCTTTTTCTCTTTAGCTCTTTGTTGTCCATATTTAAAGATAATTGAAATTATACTAAATGTGTGCCTTTTTATTTATACATCGTCTCATCTTTATTGTTGTGGTACTCAAAAGAAATGAATCTTTTCATCCTTATATAGAAATATTAAGGAACATCTCAAGAAGAACTTAGATATTTGACACAGATGCTTTTGGTGTTTCTTTGCTTTAAGGAATGGAAATGAACCAGAAGATATTTCTTGAGTTCTTTTCCAGTGATTAATAATCTATGATTCTTTTAAATGCATCTAAAAAATATTTTATGTGAGGCATACATTTTCATTTCTTATAATGATGATTCTTTTGGCATATATTCTTTAAATTTGATTTAAGAATTATATGTAGTTAAATGGAATTTGAGGAAAGACAGAGGTAGAAAATTACTTGGATTGCATTCAATGTTGTCATTTAAAGATACTAGACATTTTTAAAATTTCATAAATGTGAATATCCATATTCAGTCATAGTAAGAGAGGCCTTCGCCTTAGATGTTTCTAATATGTTATGTTCCTGTTAGACATTGAAACTATAGTGCAATTTTGTCATTGTGACTTTCAAGCTGATTGCTATAGTAACCAAACATCAAGAGGTAAAGTTATGTTTGTTTCTTCTGCGTAGAAAAATAATTGTCTGGAAAATGTCATGTGACTTTCAAATTTTCTTTTCTCAGATTCATAATGACCATTTAATAGCTAGTGAAAAACAGCATATAATCCAGTGGGAGGATTTCATGAAAGAACAACACAATAAACAGGCTGAAGTGGATGAAGAGCACAGAAAAGCCGTGGAGAGGCTTAAAGAACAATATGCCGAGATGGAGAAGGACCTAGCAAAATTTTCAACCTTTTAAGAAACTTGAAGCCCAACAATGACAGACTAATCAGAAAACATTGACTACTCCCAAAAAACTATGCTCACCAAACCATTTAGCCTCTGCTTCAAGCTTAGCAATATATTCAATGGCACTCTCACTTCAGAAGAAAGAAGCTTCTACTGGAGTCTTAATTAAATGTTTAATAAAAGAAGAGTGCTACATCTTTCCAGTTTTAAGTGCCTATATATGATTATTTGAATGGGGAGGAGTAGGAGGAAAAATGGGATAAATGTATTCTTTGTTAATCAGAATTGGTCTTCTTTCCATTGATTATCTCAGAGAACTGTAAGTGTAAACTTGTTAAAGAGAAAAATAATTTAATTCGTTCTTTTACAGGGTTAATACTAGTTTATTATTGTGGCTTAGAAGGCAGATATAATAGCTGCCTGTCATGGCCGCCTCGGCTATTGGAAGAATGTGTAAAGTGTTATTCCATGAGTAATGTAGACAGCAATGACTGTCCTGGGAACAAAGATCACATTTAAGAGAGGCAGGAGTCCAACCCTGTCTCCCCTGCGGCAGAGATGGCCGTGCTGCTGGTGGACCTGCCCGTTGGGAAGCTTACCGGTTTTGCAGTGCAGCATAATGCCGTGTGTTTCACTGGGTGACAAGACACACGGTGAATTCTGTGGCCTTCCAGCACTTAATATGTTCAGCTTTTAAAACATGCTTAGAAGGAAAAGCTTACCAAAAATATAGTTGACTTTGAGCCTTTCCAAGAACCATAATCTTGCCCATAGTATTTACCTCATTTTTGTGTCTGTTTGGCTGTGGGTAAGCTTTGTAAGATAAATAATGTCTATATATATTTCAACTGTTTAATGAGTAATCAGCACAATCTGCCAAGGGGTCCCTCTGGAGCTATATAAAGATTCTGGCTCTGAATAAACCAGAAGTATTTGCCCACATGGCAAATGATCCATGTTAAATGTAAATCCTTTTTAGTGTTTAACGTCTGTTCTTATAAGCAGGTGTATTATGATGAAACATGTACCAATTCTGTCATCACTGTGATCTTTAAAAATCTGCATTTAACAAGTCTAATTGAGGAACTAAGTTAATTTTTTATTTACCATTAACCAGGCAAAGTTAAATGCAATAATTTCAAGAGATTTATGGCAAATGAATTTGAGGTATAGATAAATCTTTCAAATATTTTTTACTGCTCTTCAGTAAAGAAAGGCACAAGAAAGAAAATACTCAACTCTCTCATGTTATCTCAGTGTTGCTACTGCAGAAAAGTGACAATGCTTGCTTGTGTAAATTTATGGCTTACTGTCAAAGCTTCATTCTTGGCTGCATGTTGAAAATGTGATTAAAGTTAATAGAGGAGATGAAATAAGTATTTGAGATTTCTTTCAATAACACTGAACTTCTGCCAACTTTCTCTGTCCGCTACTGTAGACTTGACAGGTTCATCAATCATCCTCTGGTACCTGGACTAAAAAGAGCACTTGCTGACACTAAGGCATGTTGGAATTTTCTTAATTCTCTTTTAGTGGATGGAAAAAAAAACATACTTCCAAAAATATCGCACACATGAAAAGGGAGGGGAACCTTAAATGAAAATTCCCTTTGTACTGTATGTAGGCAGTTTTAGGAATGCTATTAATTGCCAATGCTCCATTGAACAGATGCTGTAACCAAGAAATCAGGACTGTGTATGTGAGAAGGGAATGTATCTTAACTGTGGTTGCTCAACTTGTGCAGCCAAGATTTCTCATAGTGTTTGTTCATCTCATAAGAATAATAAATACTTTACCATGTGAGTTTGTATATATTATGTAAGGATCTAAGGGACTTCTTAAACCAAAATGAATTGATGCGCTTTTTGAGCTTTAAACATTAAGATGATAAATTATTTCTTTGTAACTTTGTTAGCTATTCAGTATTACTTCTAAAAGAGACAGTTGGTTTGCCTTTTAATATTTTTAGTAGTGAACACTTTCACTTATATTTCCAAGTTTCCAGAACACCTTTGATATGTTTATTATTTATATATAAAAATTAACTTTAGTAATTACATAATTTACAGCATTTTTGCTGTTAATGCTGTTGAGCAGTGATAATGTGGGTTCTGTGTACCTCAGAGGGTTATTTATGATGAAATAATATTTTGTCATTTTAAAGTGCTATAGAAATGTTTAAGTTCTAAGTATTTTCTGTTTTTCATTATGATTTCTTTTTTGACTCGCGTGGGCTTTTTTATTTCCTAACATGTAGATTTTTAAATTCTTCTTATTGTTCTTATTGTTGATTTCTGCTTTAATTGAATTGTGGTCAGAGGATAGATCCATATATGCCTGATGTGTTGAAATTTGTTGAGATTTGCCTTATGACCTAAAATATGGTCATTGTTTGTAAATGTTTCATTAGTGTTTGAAAATATGCATATTTTCCAGTTGTTGGGTGTCCATTAGACCAAACTTGTTAATTATTTTGTTCAAATTGTCTCTATTTTACTGTTTTTTCCTCTACTTGATCTCTCAGATTCTGGGATGTGTTGAAATTTCCTTTTCTAGTAGATTTTCTGATTTCTCCCTGTAATTCTGTAATTCAATTTTTGTTTTAAATATTTTGAAGCTTTGTTATTAGGTACATACAAATTTAGAATTGTTTAATCGTCCAATTTTAGAATTGAATCTTATATTTATAGTCATAGCCTCTATTTCTAAAAATGTACTTTATTTCATTTTATGTTGCTTTAAAATCTGTATTTTTAAAAACATATTTATATAGGCCATACCAGCTGGTTAGTATTTGTATAGTATATATTTCTTTATCCTTCTGTTGGACTTTTCTGTTATGTTTTAGATGTGCTTCTTAAAAATGGTAACTAGATTTTTTTTTTCCTTTCTATCTGATTATTTTTTAACTGGAGAGTCTAATCTAGTTGAAATTACACATATATTAGGATTTATTTATACCATATTATTGTGCTTTTTGTCCCACTTTTTTCTGTTTCCTCATTGCCCTTGTTATTTTGCCTTCTTTCAGATTGATTGATTTAGTTTTGTTTTTTCATTTACTTTTCCTCTACTAGTTTAGAAGGTAAAAACTCAACTTTTATCTTTTAGTGCTTACCAAGAAATTTAATTTGCATAATTAACTTAACAAAATCTAAAGTTAATATTGTTACTATCTTCCTAGACATTGTCATTGGAGACTTTTGAACCAAGTTTGATTTCCTCCCCTCAACTTATAAATTGGTGTCTAGAATTTTAGTTTTATTTTGGTCTGACTCCAAAAAATAGTTATTTTATGCAGTCAGTGTTTGTCTAGATTTACCTACAAGTTTACCATTTTATTATCTTGGAGAATTAGCTGGGTATATAATTCTGGATCATCAGCTGTTTTCTCTCAGTATTTAATGACATTATTCTCCTATTTTCTTGCTTCTGAAATGACAGTTGTCAGTCTGATCAGTATTCCTTTGTAGCTGTGTCTTCTCTTTCAGGTTATGTTTAAGGTCTTCATCTTTGGTGTCCTACAAACAAAGTCATTATCCTACAATGTGTCTAGCTGTGGATTTCTTTTCATTATCCTGTTCAGATTCATTGAGCTTCCGAAGCTGAGAATTAGTGCCTTTCATAAATTCTGGAAAATTCTCAACTTTCATTTTTTTTGACTATTGTACCTGCCCCATTCTCTGTTCTCTCCTTTAGGAAATCAAATTAGATTTATATTTTATGTTGCACTCTGTTCTCCATATCTCTTTATCTCTGTTTCATGTTTTCTATCTCTGTATGTGTCAAATTCTAGATAAGTTCTTTAAATCTTTTGTCTAGTTCGTTAATTCTGTCTTCTCACTGTCTTTAACCTATTTAACCTATCAAGTTTTTAATTAAGGTTATATTTTTTTTCATTTCCGGAAGTGTTGTTTGGTTCTTTCTCAGACTTTCCTGGTCATTTGGGATAATTCCATTATTGCCTCTTTTTCTTTTTTTTAAACATAGTAAATGTACTTATTTTATGTTCTGTATATGATAATTTCCATTTTCTTGTCTTTTTTGTAGATCTGAATCTACAGTTTGTTGTTTTGTCTAAAGCAACAAGTTTATGGTGACTTGTTTTCGAATGTGGTCAGTGATTTTGATTGTGAGTTCATATCTTCTGAGCTTTATTTTGGGAATTTGTTTTCTTTGAAGTGTGTGCCTACAGAGAAACTTTTTTCTTCCAGCCGCACCAGTCTGTTTCTTGTGGCGCTGCTAGCCCTGGACCTCTGCAAAGTCAGTTTCCACCTGGGATTTCCTGCCTCTCCCTCCCCGTCCTTCAGTGCACGTGCGTACACACTCACACACGCTTGTAAGTAGTGGGAATTTCATCCTCACACACATGGGAGTGTTGCGCTGTGATAGAGCATTCCTAGAGGAGACCTTTTCCTCCTTCACAGCTCTACTTCAAGTAAAGAAGAGAAACTGCAGGTGTTTACTTGCTCACTGAGAGTGGTGCCCTTTGGGGAGTTCACCAGTCCTGCTTCTCCTCCAGCTCAGTCCCTGTTAGGAACTGAACTGTGTCCCCACCTCACATTTGTGTGTTGAAGGCCCAACTCCCAGTGTGACTGTATTTGGAGATAGGGCCTGTAAGGAGACAGTTAAGGTTAAATGAAGTCATAAGGATGGGACCCTAATCTGATAGCACTGGTGTCCTTATTTATGAGACAACAGAATGCTCTCACCACACACACAGACAGAGAAAAGATCATCTGAGGACACAGCAAAAAGGTGGCCGTCTACAAACCCGGGAGAGAGGCCTCGCCAGAAATGGAATTTTCCAGCACCTTGGTCTTGCACTTCTTGCCTCCAGAACTATGAGAAAATAATTTTTCGCTATAGTTTAAGCTACCCCATCTGTGGTATTTTGTAATGGCAGCCAGAGCAGACTAATAGAGGCCCAGACCGTGATTCCTGTCCCCACGCAGGCATGGCACCTTGAAACAAGTCCTTCTAGGCTACAGTGATGGGGAGATGCTGTTAGCACAATTACCACTTCCAGAGCTAAATTACCCACTTTTTCCTCATCTGCCTTCAGTTGTTTTCATTAATTTGCTGTGAACTTAGCCATGAATTAAAAATACACATTTTTTTTCTGGCATTTTTGGTGTTCAGTAGCTGTTGAGGTTTCTAGGTACAGAAATGGCATGTTAGACAAGGATATGTTGATTTTATTAAAATTTATCCCCAAAAGAACGTGACCATATTCTAGTATAAAAGATACCTTTTCTTTCCATTATTGTGCCAAATACTTTCTGTCTGATTGCTGCTTTTTACTATCTGTGAGCAAATTTGTTTCTATTACTACTATTGGATTCTTTCTTTTTACTATTTGTGAGCTAATAAAAGCAGATAAGAGTGCAACAGTCTTGTTGTGAACCTGCATAACTCATATGAATATTTTGTTTGGGATTCGTTTTTCTTCTTTTCAGAACATTATTGTGGTTTGTGAGGATGTCCCAGGGCCCTACTATGGACGTAGACAGAAGTACTAGATCTGTGGTATTAAACCCAAAGTACCATTAAAATCTAGAGGAGTCACAAATGCCTCTGAGATGCGTCGTGAATTCTCTTCTTTGCTCCTGTAACACGTAGGCTATCTGGACACTTCCATTTACTTTCTGAACTGTTTCCTAATGTACATGTGTTTCAATATATTGGGTTTTGGTTGCCATTGCAATCAAAAGGTGGGGGGTTTTATTGCTTTGGAATTTAACATAATGACAGCCTTTCCTGAATTTGTACCCGAGGGGCTCTTTTTTCCCATTTAGGGCTGTAAGTCTATATCTCAGGATAAAAAAATACCAGAAAAATATTTTAAACATTATTCAGTCAAACTATTTGAAGCTACCATTATAGAAAAAGTATTTTCTAGTAGTTCTTAATCCTACAGAAAAATTTTATAATTACTTCATTAATTTTCAACTCCAATAAGTGAATATTAATATTTTATTAACTTAGTGCAACTCAAGGTCATACAATGAAGGGAGGATTGAAATCCGTCGTATCACGTGCTGCCTGCTCTTCCTTGTTCTTCTCATTTTTAAATTTTAGCTGCTGAAAACAGTGCTTTCTTGTGACTTGTGTCTGGCAACAATAGCAAAGCAGGAGTTTCATATTTATGTTTCATAAGCAAGAGAAAAGAAACTTAGATTTTCAAATATGATGCACTCCACAGAGCAATAAATTAATAAGTAGACTAACATTTGATCCCCACAAAAATTCTAGGTTCAGATTATCTCTGAAGAAATAGTCAAAATCACTTTAAGGTAAGTAAACACAATACTTATATTTGTATAACACAGTTTACAGCTTCCAGTGTGCTTCTAAGGACCTTAAATGTAGTTTA